AATTTTTGCCCTTATATGGAAATCTTTCCTAAAAAAATGAAACAAAGAACTCCGATGCACCTTTTGACTGTGGGAGAAAGAAAATCTTTGTTCTATCTGTAAATGGCCGCTGAAAGGCAACCTTTCAGCAATCCTTTCACAACTCGCTAAGAGTAAATAAGTCACTGTTTTTCGAAAGGGCCAATGATTGCAGCTCTTTCCATCTTGCTTTTCAGATTGAATGAAAGATTGAATTTTTATCAATTTCAAATGGGCTATTGATTTACATAAACTAGGCAGTGATTTCGACATATGTCGATATTTTTCTTTGTTGGGTGTGTCTACGATCACGTCGTCCAATCACATCCTCAAAATCATCATTGTCGACAAGTCCGGTCATTTCTCTCCCGTGCAGTTCGACACGGAATTCTCAAACCTCCACATCTCGACCGATGTCGAGTTTGAGTTTGAGATGAGCGCTGCGGCATATGCACGTATGATCCCAAACCTTCCTCTCTCGCGCTCCAAATATACGGTGCGCATGTCTTCCTCTGTTCTTTGTTACCTTACTTATGCGCACCAGATACGCCACGCTGACTATGTCCCGAGCTTCCGGTGGTTCAGGGTAGGCTGCCCCCTTCCGTTGAAGGACCGTTGGTTAAACATTCGTCACAGGGTTTTAACGGGATGTCGGAGTTCTGACTTTTCTCCACTAAATTCAAATGCTTGTACTGATGTCTTCTTGAGTCCATGGTTCAATGTATGGTTTCTTGCTACATCGTCCTTTCAAACAGAGTAAGACAAATATTCACTTTTCGCATGGACTACGCCGACAGTAAGACTTTCAAATTATACCCTCTCTCTCATTCATCACCCAGGGGATTCCGCACATAATCATCGGACGTGGTGTACGCAACACCGCGAGGCACTCTACATCGAGTACTATGCTCCCGCAGTTTGGGGTTCGACTCCCCGCGTCCGAATAAGAGCGCATCCTGCACGTTTTTGTTCTACTCCTTGTGTCACTCTCTCCATTATCCTGAGCCTTCTCCTCGATTTGTACTTGATCTTCCCCACTTTTCTTTCCAACTTCCAAATTCTTTTCAATGTCATGGCTCTCCTCGCCGTTTTCGTCCGAATGTTCGGCTTCGATCACTGTTTTTGTTAATGCTAATCGCATCTCACTCTGATATCCCGACTTACATCTTCTCTGATTTACGTTCAGAAAATATCTCCGACACAAAATTCCGGATTCGTTGGAGATGTTGCTCGTCACTCTTCGCTCAGTTTTCCCTGCCACAAAGCAAGCTTTTTTCATCCATTCTGTCTTACTCTGGGGACCACAGAGAGACTAATCCGGCGTGGTGTGTGGAACACCACGGGGCTCTTCGACGATTGAAGCCTCCGAATGCTACCTGCTGTCCGGAATTCGACTCCCCACGTCTGAATGGTTCGTTCATCACGGCATACGTTTTGTGCTATTTTTTTATGCCACTCCTAGTGTATGGAACACCGCGGCCGCTCTTTAACATAGCTGAGCTTATGACCGCGATTCCTGTTCGACTCCATCCCAGAACTTTTTGTCCCTCATCGCGCACTCACAGCACATTCTTTCGGCAGATTTCAATCTCGAGCTGAGGTTCCCGAATATAGTTCAGTATCGAACCCGAGCTCGTTCGCCCGGAGGAAAACTCCTCGAAGGGAAGAACGAGTGTAGATTGCGACGGTGTGATGCTAGTAGTAATGATACAGGCTATGGGTTGACGGATATCATAGGATTACGAGGGCACAAATATGATGAAGAGGGCAAGTCGCCGTCACGGTAACCATTCATTTCAAGAATCAAGCATCCCGTCTTTGTGGATTTCTACACACACGAGTCAGCCGGTAGGTGTTATACCTTGGTGGATGGACTTACACGCAACCGAGTCGAGTGATAGAGCGGGCAGCGGGGAAAAGGCCATGGAGACGAGGCGTAGATAGCTGCCCTGGAAGCGGACGGAACCCGTAAGATTCATGTCGTAGAGGATAGCGGATGGGCAAGGACGACGTACGGTTATGAATGACAGAGAGAGCCGCGGTATGGCACGGAGGCGGCGGTGCAAGGAGGGGGAGGGAGAGAAGTCGGTCGCCGTAGGCGCTGGAAACGCTCATCGTGGGAGTTGAGCGCTTTAATACAGGCCGCTTGGAAGAGACTGGTAATGATGGCGATGCGGACTTGCATGGAAGCGCAGGCGTGGGCGATGCGTTGCGCCTGAGTGACGGGAGCGCTGACGATAAAGTCCACTCGGACGTGGGCGGCAACGGCGCAGGCGATGTGTTACGCTTGAGCGATGGTCGCTTCGGCGATGTTCCCGACATATGAGGTGATAGGGGCGAAGCGCCGCTGTGTGCGATGGGGGAATAGTATTCCTCAGACGGCATTTCCAGAGCGCGGAGGGAAGAGAGGTGTGTCAGATAGTTGCGCTCGAGCGCACACCGGCGGAGTGAGGGACGGCGGGCTCTGAGGGATTGCGAGGGTCTAGGAGACCGTGACTTGGTGGCTATAGTGCGGCGCATCGCAGAGAGTGAGATGAAGGACATTCTGCGAGTGAGTGTTGTTGTTGGTCGGTGGCGGTTATACGGGAGCAAGTGAGGATTTGGATAGCAAAGCCCGCGCTTTTATAGACAGCACCGTTCGTGCATCGCCTTGTGGGCCTGATACCCCTCTCGAATGTGCGGATACCGAAATTCCGCCCTGTCTAAGATTGACCCAACCCCTCTACGGCTGAGACAACGGCCTAGAACACGGCCCAGAACATGCCGAAACTTGGACGAAAGAGTGTAAAGAGATCGATTCCAGTAGTAGTGCAGGCGGAAGACGTTGACATGGAAGAGGCACTGGCAGGAGGCAAGACTGAGAGTCACGTGTGCTGACGCGTCGCGTGTAGGTGACAAGCGAGAGCAAACATTGATCCTAAACAGTGTCTCGGCTTATCGGGTCGGGATCAATAACGCTTAGTGAATAAATGATCTCACTGATTTATCCCTCAAACGCCGTACAATCTCTGTCGGAAATTGTGTCCGACTCGATTAGTCGAACCAATATTTCCAGTTCAGCGTTCCGTAACTCTTAACACTTAGCGATACAGTATTTAACCGGGAAGCGAAATGCTACGTAGAAGCGAAACACCGGCTTTTTCCCGGATCCCAAACATCCGACGGGCCCCAGTTTTTGTGAGAGGATAGTTAGCCATGAGAAATGGCTCACATTAAAAGGAATTGCGCAAAAAGACTCTGTAGAACCTGTGGCAGATCGCTTTGTGTTCGCTATTTTTTGGCCTATTTTGTTGGATATAATCCGTCAGAGGCACGGTATTTCGGGCGCGCAATTCCTCCTGCAAATGCGTGAACTAGGAGTTTTCAAGGTCGTAGAACACGAATATAAACACCCCTTGGGCTGGATTGCAACGAACGGCGGCCCACAGGTTATTTTGCAGTATTTCGCTTCCACGTGATTCTGCAAAATCGGATGTTTGTAGAAGAATGGTCTCATTCTCAATCAAAACACAACATTTCCCTATAAAACTATATACTGCCAGGTAGCCCTGACACATCTCTATCGATCTATGAGGACATCCCCAACAACTTTATGCAATCTCGGCCCGGGAATTGCGAATTCGCTTGAGCGTTTCGCTTCCCGGTTAATTACTGTATGTATTATGCCCAATCATAATCAAGGACCTGACCACCCAAGCAACGAGCACGCCTGCGTTTGTTGTAAGTGAATACTGAATTCAGGGCTGAACCGACATCAAAATTTAAATGGTTTCAATGCGCTGCGCTGATCGGCTGAACTTGGTTCAATAACTCTGGAATACTAAACAAGGAACTCGATAGGCGGGTCAGCGGCTCGGTCATTCGTACCAACAAACATTGAATACCTCGAAGATCTGCAGGAGGAGGCCGTTCCGCTTTTCCTTTTGCAACTTATGAACCTGGCAGAATATAATTTAGTTCAACAAGTCTCTGCAATAAAATCGAGGATTCAGCCAGTCGAGCAACGGCGCAGTAGATGGTCCACTCTTCGCAAATCGCGCTCAATGTGTACCGGAAGTCGAATCACAGAGACCCTGCGTTAGGACTCTCCAACATCCAAAATTCCAGCCACAATGCACGGACCTTTTCCATCCAGCTTATCTTATTCTGGGAACTTCCATACAGAATAATCGGGCTTGGTGTATGGCACACCGCGGGCTCCTGTACGCAGTACAGACTGTTCGGGGTTCGACTCCCCACGCCCGAATAGTTCGTCAGTATTTTGTCCCATTTTTCATGCTACTCTCTGATCTCATTCTTGCGGACTGAGGGATCTACGGGAGTACTAATCGGGGGTTCTCTTCATAATCGTAACTGGATTATACCCGCAGTCCGGGGTTCGACTCCCCGCGTCCGAATATTGCGGTATCCTTCGTATTTTTATTCCACTCATCGCGTATCTCTCCATCCCTCTCTTTCACGAGTCTCATCTTCTGCCATTTTCGTTAGATATTTCATCCAAAACCCCAATGTCGCTGCAACTGCGCTCTGGCCAGATTCCGTTACTTGCCCGCCTCAACCTCATCACGCTCTCCGTCGTTTTCCTTGTTGGACTCCGCACTGTGATTTACTCTGCGATCTTCCGGCCATGATAATCGGATGTGGTGTGCGGAACACCGCGGGTTTTCTTATCTCTTGCCCGGGTATTACCCGCAGTCCGGGGTTCGACTCCCCGCGTCCGAATACTTAGGGCGTGCGACGTTTGTTTTTATTCCAACTCTTCACTGCACTCTCTGATATATACACATCCAGGGCCTTGCAGGCGGCTCTTTAAGTTTATTCCCAAGCAGAAGCGTTTAGGCAGCAGAGATTTGTTTTCCAACGATCTACATTCACGTCGAACTTTCGTCATCCTCGCCAGTAGAAACTCCCCCGGTGCCGCCCTCGCACTTCTTCTCTCTCACTCATCCATTCATTCACCACTCGAGAACTAACTAATATACTCGGACGTGGTGTACGCAACACAGCGGGGCGCTCTGTGGAGAAAGAATTGACAATGTCACCCGCAGTTCGGGGTTCGAGTCCCCGCGTCCGAACTAAGCAGAATTGAATCAATTTTTTTTTATCCTTCGCCACCGAGTCTTATCCTCTCGGATTTACAGCAGCGATTTCTCGAACATGCGAACTGCCAAATTCCCCCGTTTTGAAATGATCACACCCTCTTCGCAGCTTTCCCTCAGGCTACCACAACGCGAGAACCTTTAAGTCTTCTTATGCGTTCTGGTTTACTCTGGAGAATTACAAACATAATAATCGGACGTAGTGTATGGAACACCGCGGGCTCCTTTCCACCATTGCCGTATTGTGCTGCCCGCAGTCCGGGGTTCGACTCCCCGCTTCCGAATTGTCCAGGACCCTATTCCAAATCTTTTTTAAAAAAAAGCCATCGCGTTACTATCTTATTTTGAGTCTGATCATCTGTGCTTTGCCATAGAAAGCAATTTGTAGAACATGCGAACTACCAAATCCCCCAGTTTTGAACTGATCACACTCTCTCTTCTCAGTTTTGCCTCCGGCCGGCACCATGCAAGAACGTTTTACCTCTCATATGCGTTCTGGTTCATTCTGGGGAGGTACAAGGATAATAATCGGACGTGGTGTACGGAACACCGCGGGCTCCTTTGAGCACGTTGCGACGTCGTGCTGCTCGCAGTCCGGGGTTCGACTCCCCGTGTCTGAACTCACCGGTCGAGTGGATGTTTTTTGCCTAGCCTTACTTTGGCTGGCTGAAGGTCAATGTTCATTTTCTCTTTTGCGGTTCGATCAATAAAGGATGCAGAACTCAATGGCGCGTGGTTATCGCAGGGGTAGGCAAGCTTCCTTTCCTCCCACCCATCAGACGTTTCCGTAGGAACCACTTGAGACCCCGCATTTGGCTTCTTGTTTTTCTACCGCTTGAACGCCAAATATCAAATTCGTCGCGTTCACGACTCACGGAGCTCCGGGCCGAACATTGATTATCTCACAATTGATTTGTGCTCACGACATCTTCCCATTCGGAGGAGCACTGTTTTTCGAGTCTTTTTCGCAAAGGTTTGCCTAGATTCGCCCAGGGGCTCCTCATGCCGAGAGTCTCCGAGACTCCGGGTTAACCCGAGGGCTGGAGCAGGCTGTGCAGGCGGTCCGGACACTTCTTATGTTGGCGATAGCAGCCGAGCACGTTCGGGATCAGGCGAGAGCCTGTCCAAAAACAGGCTGGCCCAACAACGGATCAGAAGAACCTTCCGTGTATATTTGGAAGCGCCGCTTAATCGCGACTTATATTCTCTCAACGGCAACTACGCTCTCCACTCACTACCACCTCCCACTCGTATCCCCGACTCAGACCCAAACCGCGAAACAGTATGTCCCCAAAAAACACAAAGAGTGAGTCTCGGTGCTGTGCACGCTGGCACGCCGCTTATCCCCTGCAGGCCTCAACGTGCTGGCGGTGGACTCGTTAGAATATTTCGTTGGCGAGGACGGGAAATTCCCGGACGACAGCGCATACATCGACGACAGCGAATACATGGCGTACTCGCTCGACCTCGGCGCCGGCCTTGACACCGGCTCTGCCTGCCCGACTCCACTGTCCCCGACGCCCCGCCCCGCGCTCCGGGTTCGCACGCACTCTACCTCCTCCTCCTCTACATCTACGTCGTATTCCTCTTCCTCCGACGCCTCCACATCATATTCATCCTCCTGGTCCGCATCGCCGCTCTCGGCCTCGGAAGAACAAGACGAAGAACCCTGGCCACCCTACGCCCACTCCCTCCACACCCAAAACAATGCTTTCCCCGCGGGCGCGCTGCACTCCCTCCTCGGCGCGCGCTCGGACGATATCGAGAGGGAGAAGGATGCGAAGGACGGGCTGGCCGCGCCCGAGGAGCCGAGCGACGTTCTCGGCGATGGCAACACTCTCTTTGCGCTCGCGCGCGCGGCGGGGTGTGTGCTTGTCCTTGGGGTACTGGCGGTGCGCGGGCAATGGGCGTAGAGGGGTATAGATTCGCGTGTCACCCCTGTCTTACTTTCCCCACTCGGCTTCACCTCCTACGCCTTCATCTACGCGGCTCCCAAACTTAGCACTGCAATTATAATTGTATCTACCACTGTAAAATGCGCATCACTTTCTTATCCCGTCTGTCCGCGAATCCAACCTCGCCTGTCTATACCTTCCCCCACATGGGCTCGACGCTGGATATTGGGGGTTCATTCGTATTTCTTCGCCTTGCCCCGGAATGGCCATCCGTCGCTGCTTCAATCTTCCGGTAGCTGCTGAACAAGGTTTGGTGAGAAAGTAAACACCTCCCCCTTCTTAAATTCCTCTCATTCCTCGCCCCAAAGCGAACCCACAGAATAATCGGACGTGGTGTATGGAACACCGCGGGGCTCTCTTATCCAGTTAAATATGCATGCTCCCGCAGCCCGGGGTTCGACTCCCCGCGTCCGAATGAGTTCCTCGCATCTTTGTTTTTTCTTTCTCGACTCGAGTTAACTCCACGTCCGTTTCGATTCTGCTTTCAGTGCTGTGCGCGAATAGAGGGGGAAAACAAGTCCCGAAATCTATTCCAACTCAGGCTGAAGGTCCAATTCATCATTAAGCAGCGGGGCTAATCTTTCTTCATGTCGTCTTCCTGTCTTATCTTTTCCCATTCCTCGCCTAGGAACAAACCCACAGAATAATCGGACGTGGTGTATGGAACACCGCGGGTTCTCTTATCCAGTTAAATATGCATGCTCCCGCAGTCCGGGGTTCGACTCCCCGCGTCGGAATTGTCTTTATGCTTTTCAATGATTTTTTTTTGTTTTTTGTTTTTGTTTCAATCTAGTGATACGCTTCCTCATAATTCACACTACTGCAAACAGAACTTGCGAGAACAAGTGGTGTACGGGTCCACATCCACACCGCCGGTCAGGATTCCTTAAGCGTGGTCTACTACAGGATTCAACAGGGACAGGAATCGGACGTGGTGGATTTAACCTGCATATGCCACTCGCAGTCCTGGGTTCGACTCACCGCGTCCGAATTAGTACGATCAATAGTTTTATTTTATCAATTGGTTTCGCCACGTCGTCTTATTTCCATCTAGCAGGTACAGGCATAGATGATGGCGGGATACCGATCCAGATGGTCGTTTAATCTAGGACTCACCAGGCCAGTACATCGGACGTGGTGTACGGAACACGACCAGCATTCTTAATAGGTGAAAATTGCCATCATGATGCTTGCAGCCCGGGGTTCGATTCCCCGCGTCCGAATGTGTCGTATGTGTGCTTTTTCTCCCTCGGCTCGAGGTCCATTTTGATTGTGCTTGTCAGCGCCGTGCGACTTCAGCAGCGAGTAGAGGGTACAAAAAAGAAATATCTTCTAACTCATGATGAAGGTTTAATTCATCATTAGAGATCCAGAGTTCGGAGACGGGATGATCCTTGTTCGTCTTCCTGCTGCTTATTTTTCTCATTCATCGTCCCGGAAACAACCCAGATAGTAATCGGACGTGGTGTATGGAACACAGTGGGACTGTATACCAAGAAAACTTTCGACTATGCTCCCGCAGTCCGGGGTTCGACTCCCCGCGTCCGAATGACTTGTGCACGGCCTTAATCGTGTTTTTTCTTCTTATTATTTAACCCCGCTTACTCGCACTCTGGCTGAATCCAGACGATACTTTGCAGCTTCCTCATCCACACTCAGGTTCAAAAAATGGCTACCGAGAACCAGAGGTGTACCCAACACCGCCAATCAGGATTGCCTACGCGTGGTCTCGCTATGTGTTGATTGATTATAGGATTGAGCAGGGAAAGGAATCGGACGTGGTGTACGGGACACAGCGAGCTTTCGTATATGTAACCTCCATATGCCACTCGCAGTCCGGGGTTCGACTCCCCGCGTCCGAATAAGGCTGTGAAGAATGGTTTTATTTTATGCTGCGCTTTGTACTCCCGAACTTTTATTTCGATCTAGCGGCTTACCGAAGATGCCGGGGGATACCAATCCAGATGGCGATTTAATCTAGGATTCACCAGGCCAGTACATCGGACGTGGTGTACGGAACACAACCAGCGTTCTTAACTATCGCCCACATTGATGCTGGCAGCCCGGGGTTCGACTCCCCGCGTTCGAATGGGTCGTTCCCATTTGTGTTTTTTTTTTGTTTTCTCTTGGCTCGAGTTAACTCGACCTCCGTTGGATTCTGGCTTATTGGGCTGTGCCCGAATAGAGGGGAATATCAGCACGCATTTTCATTCCACTCATTGCGTATCTCTTTTTCTCGCTCTGGTGTCCTGAGTCTCATCTTCTCTCGTTTTCACTAGACATTTCTCTAGCATCCAATATTTAAGATTCGTAAGAGCTGTTGCTCCTGTTCTGGTCACTGTCCGCGCAGTTTCCCTGCCACAACGCAACAATTTTTTCTGGGTACCTACAGTGAAACTAAACAGCATGTTACTGGGTCCTCTGGCGCTTCGCCTTCCGCGCAGCAACGCCCTCCTCGTAATAAGCGATATCCTCACTCAATTCCTTGTTTACTTTCTCCAATTGCGTAATCTTTTCGTCCTTTTCGCCGCTCTTCTTGCTCATCTCCTCGATGCGTAGCTTGCTCTTCTCTTCTATGCGGAGCGTGCGAGACTCGGACTCCTTGACGCGGAGTTTGAGAGACTCGCACTCGGCCCGAAGGGATTTCTCTGTCGCGGCATACTTCCGCTCCAACGCGTCATACTCGAATACCACCTTGCTGATTCGATCCAAGGCCTTTCGGTTCAATGACATGCCATCGCCGCCTTCATCAGGCGTTTCGTCGCGGACTGGTAGATGTTGGATGTCTCGTTCAATAGTGTTCGTCGTGGATGTGGCGCCTTCGACAGACACTACGTGGGACTGTTAGCGTCAAGGAAATAATCCATGCATTAGACGTACCGAGAACGGAGGTGGAGTGTGCGCTCTTCGCTGCTGACCGACCCGATTCGTTCGTGCTTGAGGTAGCCGACAGTTCAAGTTGAACACTGTCTGGCTCGTCTGACACGAGATTTGATTGAAGTTCCAAATTTATTGGATCCACGTACCGAATAATTCACTCGTGCTCGGGGAAGCCGCTCGACTATGAGCTAATGAATCGACTTCCTCCAGAGGTTCTGGGACAATATTCAGTTGAAATGCGAAGTTCCATCCAATTCACCCACCCGGTTTGATCCTGCCTGAAGTCCTTGACCTAGTGGCCGACGCCCGTTGGATAGCATTTGGCTCGTCTGAGATAAAATTTAATTGGTATTCGAACCTCTATCCGATTCACGTACCGACGTCCATGGCCAAGGCTGAATCGGCCTTCATCGTTGCTGCGCCGTCCATGCATGAAAGATATGCTCGAAAGAGGCTTCGAGCGGAGATTTTGCGTTCCGTGTACGCCTCAGCCGCATGCTGCAAAGCTGGACCAACCCAGCAGAGACATTGGCCTTCCGGGTGTTCTTCACACGCCGCCGGTAGCGCGAACGCAAGCACGTTCTGTCTATCATACCATACGACGCAGAAATCGCATTCGTCGTATTCGCGAACGGTTATGTTTTTGGAGGGTATCGTAGGAACCAAAATCTTGAGTGCTGCCCGTATTCGGTTAAGGCCTACAACGTCAGTTACGACACGGGAATCCAGAAGCGCCTGGATTTCCGACGCCGACGACTCCGTTTTTTTCATGCATTCAAGATACGCGCTGAAGACCCTTTTAGCGCAAAATGTAGGTCCCTTGAATTCGATGACGGCGTCTTGGAGAGCAGGGCCAACCCAGCACATACAGTGCTCGTTCGGGTGCTCGTCGCACGACCCAGGTAATGCGAACGCGAAAACTTTCTTCTTCTTGTCGTAGATGGCTGTGGGGTAGACGTTCTCGTATTTGCGCACCGTCACGTTCTTCGATGGTACGCCGGAAACCACCATTTTGAGCGCAGCCCGAAGCTTGTCAAGGCCGTGGACTTCACCGGCCACAGGTGAATCGAGAAGGACGCCCCGGGCGTACTCCTTGACCGGAACATACGCTCCCGATAGTTGCAGGACTTTTAGTGCGTGGTGAGAGACATTGAATGGTTCCAACTCGAGTTGTGGGAAAAGTGTGGGATCGTCGCCCGAGCCCGGGCAGTAGGGATGGAGTGTTTTGGTAGCCGGGATAGGGGGGGACTTCCGACGTACGGCTGGTTCGAATGCGGCACGATATTGGGCTGCGCCATCCTTCTTTTTAGGCTTTACAATACCTGCTAGCGAATCTGAATGGTCGTCAGTGAGAATATCAGCAGCGAGTTCTATCGCCAAATCCGGGAGAGTGCGGAATGCAATATCGGCACTCTTGCCCGCCTCGCGTATGTATCGCTTTAATTTCGCGTCATCTTGAACCATTAGCCTCTCCGTGGTGAGACTCAGATCACCGTGGTAGTTCACGGACAGCTTGTTCAAGCGGATACCATATGGGACGAGTTGGTCGCGATGATAAAATTTGGGGGGAGGGTCGTCCGCGATGAAGAATTGAATGTCGGTGCCAGGAACGCGCCATTCGCGAAGAGGGGGGATTATTCCAAAGATCGCAGAGAAGAGAAACTCTGGATGGAGTCGACCATCGACACCGATAATCGTAATGCACACCTCGTCGGCTTTAACCACGGAATTACCATCAGGTCCAACGAAACCATACTCCACCCGGCGTTTTTGCGCTGCTGTCAGAATGGAGGTGGCTTTGTCGCGCATCTTGGACGTTTCCATGGCGGGGTCGTAAATCTTTGGGTCGCCACCATCAGGTGCATTCTGGATGTCTGTCGCAATATCCGATGAGCAGGCCGGTGTAGAAGAATGGGTTAGTCCTGAGGTGGACTGAGTTGTGCCAAGGTCGTGCACGAAATGGTAGCCAAGCAGTGAACAGGTATGTCCCCTTCGTTGGATAAGATACCGGCCCTAGCGTAGGTCAGTTTAAAAATAGATTGAGGTCGAACACTTAGCTAAGTATGGGTTCGCGTGTACTCGTTTAGCTCGGACTCAAATTAGGCTCAGGCTCGAGAGTGAGAGTGGGGGAAAAAAGTGTGTCCTTCTCAGTAATAGGCTGAGTGGTATTTATACAAGATTGGGATGGCTGCTCGCGTACTCTTGCGACACCAGAGCCCGCGATCGACAGCTAAAATGTATACATGAAACAATTATGTATGTAAGTGTCCATGATTAACCTGATCGGCGACATATGAAACATGAGGTGGAGAATGGAGAGCGGTCCAGACCAAAATAACCAAGGAGGTAACTGCATACGTGTGGGAATACAATGGAATCGAGCGATCCGAGAGAAATAGCTTGGCAGTGCACAACAGGTATTTTTGACCATGCAGCTGCGGACCGAGGTGATGGCCTGGAGACGAGCAAGCTGTGGAGGAAGATAGGAAGATGAGTAAAATATATCGAGAAGGAGAAAAACAAAATTCGTTGAACCGGTGTTACCCAATTTGGGTTCCACATGTATCCGGTCCGAATGCCGAAGGCGGTGAGCAGGGCGAACCGCACTTCCACAGAGGGGGATACTTCGATTTCGTCCTCGAAATCCTATAATAATCAGTAGAAAAGGAGGCAGATGCAAGGGAAAAATGGGGAAGCATAGAGTTGAATGGGAGGAAGGGAAAGGAAACATGAAGCACAATATAATGGCTCACTCGCAGTGAAGGTATTGACAGTGAAGGGCCGCACATCGACAAGAATCCAGATGCCAGGAATAGCTTAAAATGAGGAAAACTAAACAAACGGGGAACATAGGCGAGAGTAGCGGGACACATGAATATAAATAGATGGGAAAGAACTTAGCGTGTTTCGCCCTCCTGTTCGCGGCTTGCACTAGCGATGTTGCGCAATGCCAGGTCTAGTCGAAATTGAGGGTTCGCAAGTTCGGTGCGCCTTGGTTTGGGCTTCAGTGAGGTTTTGAGGGTTTGATTGCCCGGACGAAAATAAAATAGGCGAAGTCTGCGAATATTAACGTGACCTTGAAGGATTGCTCCACTTAGCTCGCGTAGCACAAATGAGTCGCGTGCCCGTTTCTCGTGGATGATATATGGTCCAGAGTACAGCCAGTCGCCTTTGCCGCCCTTCGTCTCATCTAGCTGTGATTCCCGTAGCCAAACATACATTCCTTCCTCATAGTCAGCGAAATCAAATTTAAAGTGATTGCGCTTAGCTAAGTCCTCAATTGCACGGTGCCTTGATTGGCGAATGCGTTCGTTCGCCTCACGCAGTTTCGGATCGCGGCGGGAAAGCTGCTTCGCACGAATGGCGAGTAAGTCCTCGTGAGAGCGGACTTTATCCCAGTCCAATGTCTGCCATGTAATCTCGTCAATATCAAATGAGAACACGGGGTGCACACCGTAGAGGAGGTAGTAGGGTGAGAATCCGGTTGCGCGACTGACAGTGACTCGCATAGCGAATAAAACGGCGGGAAGGAAGCGCGGCCACATGGCCTTCGCATCACCCGTGCACTTGAAAAGTGCATCCACCAACGGTTGGTGGTGCCGTTCAACCGGCGCATTGCCTTCAGGATGATATGCTGTCGAAATGATCACAGTACAACGGTATTGAGTTCGAAGAAGCTCCAACACTTCACCTTTAAACTCCGAGCCACCATCAAACGAAATGAACGGGACGCAGGCGAAGCGACAGATGATGTACTCATAAATGAACTTTGCGATGGATCGTGCGTTGAGAGACTCCAACGCGCGAGCTTCGGTCCATAGGATTGTCGGTTCAAGAGCCTGAACAATATATTCCATATTTCCGACTCCCCTGGGCATATGAATGCAGTCAATATTAAAGTGACGAAGTAGAGGGGCTTGCCAAGATTCGTTGTAAGGAAGTACGGGAATTTTCTTGATGGATTTTTGACACTCTATGCAGG